AGCACACTGTGAGATGTGGATTAGGGTTAATTACTGTGACAATACTGAGAATGTTTATAAAAGAGAACTAGGCTTTACAGAAGTTCAAATTCAAGCCGTTTCTATAACGTCGAATTATAAGCGCAGTCTTACCCGGCCCCAGACATCGGGAAGACTTCCTCAGTGCAGAGGTTCTCCGAGTCCAGTCTGTTGAGCAGGTCTTTGAGAGAGACCAGAGTTTCAGCGTCAGCCATCCCTCCTGCGATCGCTGCTACCTCATTGCCCTGCACGCTCTGAAGCTACACACACACACACACACACACACACACACATATTTAAACAAACAGACTCCAATAGATGCATGAATAACAAGGCATGAAATGACATGTCTCTTATATAAAAGACGCAAACAAACACTTACTGCTCCAGCAACACGAGTGAGAGCGTCCTCCCAGGTGGTCGGGGTCAGCTGACCTGCATCGTCCTTCACCATTGGCTGGGTCAACCTCTGCCTCTTCAGACCATCATATGCAAACCTGAAGACACATATTTGGGGTTAGTTTGTTATGCTAAGTCCAGCTACATCTGACTCTTTAATGGATTAAGTCAAACCTGCCGACATCACGTTGATTTCACTTCTTAAATTCACTCATAAACATGCTAATGGTTTTGGCGTGGGTCTGTATTTTACCTGGTCTTGTCAGAGATCCATTCTTCGTTGATGTCTTCGTTCAGCCTGGGCATCACCCTCATCACCTCCCCGCCTCTTGTGCTCACCAGGATGTTACTGCCAACAGCATCCAGCACGTCGATCGACTCCGTTTTCCTGCAAAAGGCAGCAAAAAAACCAAGTTGAATAAAACAATATGGCAGAATCAGACACAAAGACTAGCACACTGACTGACTAACCAAAATGCCTTCAAATTGAAGGATTCGCCTCTTGTTTTTTATTATGAGTATTGTATCAAATCGTGTCCTACCTGGTCTCCCAGGGTCGAGAGGTGAAAGCGTAGGGTTTGGAGGTGAGCGCTCCGACAGGACAGATGTCGATGACGTTGCCTGAAAGCTCGGACATGAACATCTTCTCCACGTACGTCCCGATCTGCAGGTTGTTTCCTCTTCCTGTTGTTCCCAGGTCTTCAACACCCGCGATCTCGCTGGCAAAGCTACACAGGGATGCATGAACGTGCCGTTAGAGGATCTCTTGTATTAAACTTACTGTTTGATATAAATATGGATGCTTATATTGCTCGTACCGGACGCAGCGTGTGCACTGGATGCAGCGGGTCATGATGGTTTTGATGAGCGGCCCGATGTTCTTGTCCTCCACCGCTCGCTTCCCTTCTGTGAAACGACTGCGGTCTGAACCAAACTGCATGGACTGATCCTGAGAGCACAGCAGGCAAGAGTGTTAACATAGGAGAAATCATGAAATGGTTTGACGTGGGAGAAGTGAAGTGGTTATAAACGTACCTGTAGGTCACACTCTCCTCCTTGATCACAAATAGGACAATCCAGTGGGTGGTTTGCCAACAGGAACTCCATCACTCCCTCTCTGATGAGACACACACACACATTTATAAGGCCGGTTTCAATAGCGGCTGAAGTTAGGTGAAATGTAAAAGAAAGTTGTGTAAGAATATATTTGAATATGTGATTTTTTGTACCTGGCTTTGCGTGTCTTTTCTGAGTTGGTGAGGATGTTCCAGCCCTTCATGACGGGCATAGCACAGGCTGCTACCGGCTGAGAAGCAGACACACATATCAATTAGACACACTTAAATGCACTTTGAGCCTAGTGGTGAATATATCACTCTGCTTCCTGACCAATCAGAGGCTCTTAGGTTACCTTTACAACTTTCTCGATCTCTACCAGACACATACGACAGTTTCCCGCCACTGAGAGACGCTCATGGTAACAGAACCTGGGGATCTGGATTCCTGCTTTCTCACAGGCCTGATGGGGAAAAGGAAACAATATTAAGTGGGAGAAGAACATATGAAACATCGGTTGTGGTTTCAGTAAATTCATCGGATGTTTCCTACCTGCAGCACTGTTGTTCCAGTCTCCACCTCCAGGGATTTCCCGTCAACAAACACTTCCACCATGTTGCTGGCAGCACGCACTGGAACTAATCCAGACAAACAAAATTAATCCACTTTTCTTTTTTTTTATCTGAAGCATGGGACAGGTTATAAAATGGATGTAGCGTGAAACAAATAAAAACACACTCAGCTCATATTAAAGGAAACTATTCATGCGATGCTTATGAAAATCTTATACACTACGAACAGTTATCTGATACACTGAAACATAGCAAGTTGAAAACAATTAAATGAATATAAATAAGTCTTACCAGTGTTGAGTGCCATGCTGCTCTTGGCAGCTGAGGCGAGAGCCCGCCCAACGGATGGCAGTCGCAACATGACTGAGAGGAAAACAAATTGTTTATATATGAGCTAATCTTATTCCTACATAATTTCTGTTGATCAACTAATTGTGACTCTTTGTTCCGGCTCTACCCACAAGAAATAGAGCTGTGTGCACCAATTTGCCTTTGAGATGAAATGTCTTGGATCCATAATGTGTGAACAAAGTCAATCAGAGTTATGCAAAAATAGGTAGCTCACTTATTCTAACATGGCTAATAATTATGGCAACAACTTTGCAATGCTCAGATGTTATGTAAGTCATAGCTGCAGGTCTAATTTATATTATTATGTTCATTTTTTAAAAAGTTGTATTGATTCTATTATTAAGCCCAAAGCCTGATATAAGATGCTTGTATTAATTCCGATTGAGGAAGAATTAAATAAATGACCTTGCTCCTTTTTCCAAACATGTATATAGGTAACTTTCACTGGACTGATTTAACAAATATATCAAAGTATAACTCAGTGGCAGTGTTAGCCTATTAGCTGTCACTGTCAACAACAATGATGCTGTTACTCAACCAGCTAGGTACTCGTTTCAAGGAGGTTATGCACAGTGCGGAAACATACTGACAAAACTAAATGTTAATGCATGTTTTATACAGGTTTTAAGTGATGTCAAGAGGATAAAAGCTAATAGGTAGCTTGGACCTTCCTAAGGACTTATTGCTTGCAGGCTAGCTGTTAGCTAAGAGCACTCAAGGACACGGGCATTGCAATGTTGTAAGAGGGTTAAAAGGGATAATGAGGTCAAATACAGACATTTACACTCGCTTCGCAAATTAATAACAAACGCATTTCAACATTAGTAAGTGTATAAAGTGTTTTAGTTTCTTACCTTTCGCTATTTGGCCTTCTTGACCAGAACAGCGGTTATCAGAGTTTTTAACACCAGTCGAAAGCTATGGCGTTGGGTAGCGGAAGTAGAATGTTGTCCTACTTCCGTTTCAAATGATTTTTCATTGTGCTTATAATGTTTGTTCACACATATATCATAACGTTTCCAAAGGACCCAAAGTTGTATTTAATTTGTATAATAGTGCTTACGAATGTGATCATCTTTAATTACTGATTGTATTTGATCAACAATAATTTTACATGAAATTTTTCTTAGTCTTATTTAATCACTATTTTCTTAATATTTCTTTCTTTCTTTCTTTCTTTTTAAATGTGTTATTATTTTTAATTAGATTACATTACAGGCAAGCTTACATCACTGCATGAAATCCTGATGTCCACCCTTTACTACATTTCCCATGATTCACCGCCTGATACCGGAAGTTTCTACGTGTTCATCTTCGCGACAGTTCAGGAAGCGAACAGCTACAGAAAACGAGCAAAGAGTTGGAGCTTTTTCAGCAAAAACAGGTGAATAAGATTCAGAGTAAATACGTTTAGTTGTTTAGCTTATAAAAAATAGTCACTGCTTCGTTTTCCCCAAGTTTTTTACAAATAAACCTGACTAGGCCTTCTCTTTTCATTAAACTAGTTAGCATCAAGCTAACAGTGATACCTGTGTTGTTAGCGTCAACTAACAACAACATTATATTATAGCAATGCTTGCTAGGGGTACAAATGTCCTAGTTTAGGTGTTTCATTTAATAACATATAATTAAATAAGCATGTTTGTGTTTTTTCTTACATAGTTTATGTGTAGCATCACATTAGCATCCTCTGTTTCTCTGTTGTCATTGTTTTTTAGTGACTTTGCATTAATATTATGTTATAGGACACATGCAATAGATTTATAGAGTATATCATAGAAATGTGAACTACAGGACTGTGTATCTGTATGGCTTACCAACTATAAATACAGCAACTATGTCACTGTGAAGATTGGATTAAAATATAGATATTATGTGCAATTTAATGTTTTTAACATCATTATTACCAATATTACTTAAATAATCAAGCCTTGGAACAATCTTGATCATATATCATTCATAATATGCTTAATTGATTAAATCAAGTATACACATTCTCAAAACATGTCCTTCTCCACCATAAGCATGTGTATAGCAAATCAACCTGTCTTCCTTCATCTTCTATATCTTCCCTGCTTGTATTTAGTTTTCATTTGATATTTAGCAGGATGTTGCCGACAACTTCGCCGAACAGCAACGGCGCCCTCGACTCAAGAGACACTGCACGTCACACGGCGGGATTCAAACGCTACAAGTACCTGCGGCGGCTGCTCCATTTCAAGCAGATGGACTTTCAGTTTGCCATTTGGCAGATGCTTTACTTGTTTACGTCGCCACAGAGAGTCTACCGCAACTTCCACTACAGGAAACAGACCAAGGACCAATGGGCGAGGGACGACCCGGCCTTCCTGGTCCTGCTCGGCATCTGGCTATGTGGTAGGTTTATTCTTGATTGTAGATGTTAGGAAAATATCACTCGTCACCGGCTTGAGCTTCAATCTCAGGATCCATGTATTTATGATCCTCTCCAGAATGGAAGTAGTCATCACATACAGAGCATTTGGTACAACTAGTAATTGCGCCGCATTTTCGGCTCAGTCGAGGCACCCTCCCGGTCCCTCCGCAAGATGAGGCCCCACGCAGTCTGCATGATCGGCCTGTAGG